TAGAGCTATGTGCTTAGCAAAATGTCATTCGTGACTGTTGGCGTAAGGAGATAGCTCTCGTGTGTGGGCGATTTACGAACGACTTTTGTCATTCGTGCCACTTACGCCAAATATCTAACATGTTTGATAATTTCTGCCTCGCGTGCCAAAATCTTTCCGTGTGCGGCGAACGAAAGCTATCTGCTTACGGATTGTCGTAACAGCGCATGCGTAGTATACGAAAGTAAACATCCAAAATGGCGGCGCAAAATGAATTGCTGGCCGAGGCAATTTTAGAGGACAAACTTGTCGAACTTTGGCCTGAATACAAATGTTTATACGATGTGAGCTCTAAAGATTTTAGAAATAGGGAGAAAAGGGAATGTGCGGTGAAAGAAATAGCCAGTAAGTTTGTCCTCTAAAATTGCCTCGGCCAGCAATTCATTTTGCGCCGCCATCTTGGATGTTTACTTTCGTATACTACGCATGCGCTGTTACGACAATCCGTAAGCAGATAGCTTTCGTTCGCCGCACACGGAAAGATTTTGGCACGCGAGGCAGAAATTATCAAACATGTTAGATATTTGGCGTAAGTGGCACGAATGACAAAAGTCGTTCGTAAATCGCCCGCACACGAGAGCTATCTCCTTACGCCAACAGTCACGAATGACATTTTGCTAAGCACAAAGCTCTAGTGTGCGCCGGCCTTAAAGTTCAAAGGTTTTCCAAAGGAACGTTTTCTCCACCCCCTTTACTGTAGATGTTTTGTTATACCAAAATTGGACGCCCTCTTTTAGGACCCTGGCTAAAAGCCTGGACCCCATAAATATCTTGTATAGTGAACCCAGGGTCCCCACGGTCCTTGAAAATCCTGGAAAGTCCTTGCATTTGTTAAAAAAATTCCAGGTCTGGAAAGTCCTTGGAAACTAATAAGGTCCTTGAAAGTCCTGGAATTTTTTTTCAGTAGGCTGGAAATAATTGAAGAATTATTACCAGCCCAAGGATTATTGCCCAAATGTTTATTTTCTCCAATTTCAATTAAAGTTATGTATAACAAATGTCCAAAAGTTGTTTCGATGTCATTTTTTTCTAATTGCATTCCTCTCCTTATGTTTAAGGATAAAAATTAGATGATTTTCAAAGATTTTTCCAGTTGCCAGGTCCTTGAATATACTGAAAAAGGTCCTTGCAAGTCCTGGAAAAGTCCTTGAATTTCATCTTCACTAAAAGGTGGGAACCCTGTAAACCCAAGTTACGTTCCTGGTTATAACTGACGATGTCCACCATCAAATTGTCTTTTCAGGACATACTGTATGGGTTGTAGAATGACAAAAGCAAAGAGAACAAAGAAAAATGTCCAAATAGATGAGAACCACGTTGAATGCCTCCCTGAAGACTTAGAGACAATGAAAAGGAAGGATTTGCAAAAACTTTGTAAAAAATATAAATTAAAGGCGATAGGCAAGGTAGAGTGTTAGACTTGCCAAAATAGTACCGTAATCATGTAATGCAATAATGCCAAACTGGTGACAGGCAGAGTTTTAGCCAGGTCTCTAAAATGGACCAATCCCCAATTAACCAAAATTTTCATCTCACAAGTCTAGACAAAATTCCATTACAGAATGAAAGAGCATCACAAAATTAGTAATATTCCAAAGTGTCGTTGCAAAATGGTGTAAAATGCGGATACTATAACCTCGCGAAGTTTGTAATTTTCAGTCATTTTGTATTACGCACGGAAGTGGTAACCATTTCCCGTTTGTAATACAAAATGACTGAAAATTGCAAATTTCGCAAGGCTATATTATCCGCTTTTTACAACATTTCGCAACGAAACTTTGGAATATCGCTAATTTTGTGATGCTCTTTCAAGCTGTGATGAAAATTTTGTCTAGACTTGTTGAGTTCAAAATTTTGATTAAAGGTGATCTACAGTCTGATCTGCGCATGTGCACAAATGAGCCCACTTTTTATGATACAAACAGTTTAACTATGTTTTGAGTTCTTGAAAAGCCTGATTGTTGTTTCTTGATCATTTATTACACTCTAGAAGCTTGAAAATATAAATAGTTGTCGAATAAAGCTCAATATTTTGGACACAAAAATGTAAACAAAAGGCTTTGTTTACATACGGATGTAGATCACCTTTAATATGGGATTGGTCCATTGGCCGTCCAAAAAATACTGTGGGTGTGGCAACCTATTTACCTAAATTGTCATACACTCATGATTCAGCATCTTTCGAGAAAAAAGTATCGAAACGTATTCGATATCTAAAGTAAACGACAACTTTTGAGGTAGTCATTCAATAAGATCTTTAGTTAATTTAAACCTTGCGAGTCGTTGTTTTACCCATTGAGCACCAGCATTCTCTCCTTGATGAGAAAAATCGTTTGGCGTTAGACTGGGTGAAATAATATAGTAGCGTGCAGGGCTCAAAATAACGAGAGATATAACGGTGAAACAAACTATTACAAGCTTGTTTCGATACATCATAATTTCATGTTTTATTCAAGACGTCGGCAATCACATTGGAAGGCATGAAAATGTGGCCGGTCAAATTGACCGATGAGGTAAAAAAGTGACCGGTCAAGAGGCATTTTTGGCCGGTCATTGTCCGTTGACCCGCCGTTATTTTTAGCCCTGGTAGCGTGCATTAGGGTGCAATAATGCAAACAGATGTCAAGCTAACAAGTTCCATACAGAATATCTTGCTTTGTACTTTTCGTAGAATTCCGACCTCGTGGAAAGGCTGCGTGAGCATTTCAATTCAATACAACTGACAGACATTGGCAGCGCTGAGACAAGCAAAGCCCAAGAGAACATTGTCGTTGAGGATGATAACTGTAATGATGTCGATGTAGCGCCAAATAAAGTACATCAAGATGAATGCGATGAAAATGTCGATGCATTATCACCAGCCGAGAAACTTCTTGAAGAAACGCGTTCACCTAAATCGAATACATCATCTCCCAAAGGTAACATTATTGGAAAATTAGTGCATTAAATTCAAGGGTGGGTAGTAGCGAAGTGGTTGTAGTTCGCTACTGTAGCGAACTACAATTTTCAAGTAGCCAGTAGTTTTTGACTACTTTATTAAAACAGTAGCTGTAGTTATAGCGAACTACATTTTGCCTAAAAGTAGCCAAGTAGTTGACTAATTTTCAAACGGCAAATAGCTATTCGCTACTTTTTGAAATTGTTAGCAACTTTATAGAATAGCATGATATTGAAACACGGTTTGCTTAAAATCAATCCTCAATAGTGAATTTGCACTCTTGATCACTGTAGTGCTTACAAAAATGTTGCTTTGTGTTTACTGTTGCTATTCTCGTAAGTCGATTTGTTATAGGTTACATTTCAGCCTGAGTTAGGAGATGCTCCAAATACAGTAAAACTAAAAAATATAGCGTAGCGAAATAGTTCGCTACATTTTTTAAGCAGTAGCTGTAGTCAGTAGCGTCATAATTAAATAAATAAACAGGGTGTTAGCCAGAAGTTTAAAAAATTCGGCAATTTAATGAAATTGGGAATTTCAGTTAGCCTGCGACATTCTGACTGGATTTAAGGAATATCGTGTTTCTTAAGTGACGTTCTCGTGGCCTAGCGCCAGCTGAACTAAATTGAAACTTTTGAAGTGCAAGTGACATTGTTTTGCGTACTAAAATCAGACAAATATATATATTTTTTAGGCTATATGATATCCTAGCAATAATAGTAATATATATATATATAATAGTTACGTTTTTGGCTGATCTAAATTGTGAAATTGCTGGCCAAACGTAATTAGCCTTTTCTCAAAAGAGATCACAGTGCCTCCTGGGATCGTTTGGAGGGACAAAATATATGGAGACAGACTCACAGGCGTCAAACGTGTGAAAGAGTAGAAGTATCTACCATCAAATATCGACTTTTTACACGACCAAAAATGAAATATCTCCTTTTTACATTAAACATTTGATTTAAATGTGTGCTGCCATATTTCTTGTCCCTCCATGCAACAAGGGATTCGCGCGACTAGACCCAGGACGTTGGGAAATGGCTAATTGTAAAAACGGCGTATAACGCCGAATTTTTACTGTATAGCTGACACCCTGATAAAGCGCATTCCAGCTTAGTGGGTTAGCAATCAATAAAATAGATTTATAATCTTTGGCATATGATAACAGATTGGAATTGGCTAGCACGATGGTGTGTCGTTGATGGTGTTCTGAAACAAGATGCCGCAGAAAGATGGGTTGAACTCAAACTTGTTGGTGGACGGCCGTTAATAGTAGACAACAAAACAAAAGAACGTTATGACTTCGTGTTAGAGCCAACCATACTACCTACGCCAGACGATTGCGAGGATAATTATATATGTGGTGATTGTGTGAGGAAGAACCATGAGAAGTTGTCTGGTTGGATAGGTATAAGGAAAAGTGCTCTCGTTGAAACTCCAAAATCTTCTTTAGGTAGGTAAGGTTTCCAGGTTCAATATGGATGATTTCGGCTATAGACGAAATTTTGATTTTTTGACAAGAAGAACGAAAACCATTACCATAGCTGGAAAGAGCATCTTAAAATGAGTAAAATTGCAAAGTTTGGTTGCGAATTGTTGTAAAATGAGGAAAATATAGCCCTGTGAAGTTCGCAAATTTTGTACTGTATATACTTGCATCACGCGCGCGAAAAGTAACCATTTTTGCGAACTTCACAGGGCTATGTTTTTTTTAGTCATTTTACAACATTTAGCAACCAATCTTTGCAGTGTACTCATTCTAAGACGCTCTTTCTAGCTGTGTTGTTGGATTTCGTTCTTCTTGCCTTGATCAAAATTTAGTCATGTAGCTGGAATCACTCATTAAAGGGTTTGAAGGGTTTAATTCTTGATAATCTGCAAAATTGAAACTTGAAAGTTTGTAAGTCACATAAATATCATCTTGAACTATATCTGTGCCAGTGTAGGCAGTGCCAATAATATTAACAAGCCTTCGTTGGTAGGGATGCAACTGCCTGAAAAAAAATAGAAGAATTTCGACGCTATCCAGTATAAATAAAGTTAGTTTTGTTTAGGTTTCTTCCTGTAGTAACACTGGATCAACAAGAGATGATCTCTAGGAAGAACAGACCTCTAGGAAGAACAGTTTAGAACTGATAGAGCTATCCAGTATAAATAAAGTTAGTTTTGTTTAGGTTTCTTCCTGTAGTAACACTGGATCAACAAGAGATGATCTCTAGGAAGAACAGACCTCTAGGAAGAACAGTTTAGAACTGAGAGCTATCCAGTATAAATAAAGTTAGTTTAGTTTAGGTTTCCTCCTTTAGTAACACTGGATCAATAAGAGATGATCCTTACTGGACCTCTAGGAAGAACAGTTTAGAACTGATATAGCTCTCCAGTATAAATAAAGTTAGTAATACTGTGTATTGCACTGTTCTAAATGCTGTATATTCCTGGTTGTAGGCAAAGAAAACCTCCATAACAACAGTCTATTAAGGCAATCATTTAAAAGAAAGCGAGAAGATGTCTTATCACCGCATTCCACATCCGAGTTTATTGACCTGGTTGACAGTCCAAATAAACTGAGGCGATTAAATCCCCAGAGTTGTTCTCCAGCTAGCCCGCAAGTCAGGCGGGACAGGGGAGAAGACTTTCAATTACCAAAGTATGTATAGCTACTGTTTATATATGTGTTGCGGTAGGAGAATCTCTATCCAACATCAAAAAAGTTTCTGTTTGCAGTTTAGGTTTCGTCTTGTAGTAACCGGCACTGGAAAAGGGAGAATAGTTTAGAACTGATAGAGCTATCCAATATAAATAAAGTTAGTTTAGTTTAGGTTTCCTCCTGTAGTAAAACTGGAAAAATAAGTAATGGTTCTTACTGGACCTCTAGGGAGAACACTTTAGAACTGATAGATTGAGCTATCCAGTATAAATAAAGTTAGTTTAGTTTAGGTTTCTTCCTAAAAAAGTGATAGATCTATCCAGTATAAATAAAATTAGCAGGGTTCGTACGCGTCCTGGAAAACCTGGAAAGTCGTGGAATTTCGATATTCCAAAATCCAGGCCTGGAAATCCTGGAAAATCAATTTTAGTCATGGAAAGTTATGGAAAATTGAAATTTTACATAACATTGACAAAGTATTTTACTTATTTCAATTTACCAGTCATAACAATAATATGAATTGCTGTTATACGTACAACGGATTTTTGCAAGAGCGAAGTGAATTTTGTTCTTTTATTATATCTGTTATCGTTAAAATATTAACGAATTTCAGAAATTCCAGACTTCCAGGTCATGGATTTTGAAAAAAATGGTCATGTGAAGTCATGGAATTTTAAATGGAGAAGGTGTACGAACCCTGAGTTAGACTAAGGTTAGTTTTTAGCCGTTTCCGAACGTATAGTAACACTGGACAAATATGGATATCTCTTACTGGACCTCTGGACTGAGTCTAGAGAGATCAGTTTAGAACTGATAGATCGAGTTATCAATAATGTTGTTTTCGTTGAGTTCCTTACTTTGAGACCTTTCTTTTCCCAAGGAACCTCGTAAAACCTTTCAAGCCCAAAAAAGTGAAGAAAACACCACCGAGGGAAGATCCGGACCTCGCTCAAAAAGTTGAGAAAATCATAACCGACTTATCACCCGAAGAACAGCGTAACCTGGTCTTCGGTCTCGGTCAAACCGCCTTGCCCAGGTCACCACCTCACACGAAAAAACTGAAGGAGTAACAAGGTATGATAAACAATCGTAAAAAAATGTAGAAGTGACAGATCGGGATACAAGGAAATGAGGAAAAGGGAAGTATGGATCATTTTTCAGCGCCATTTTAAATTAACGTAAAAAAATTTGGGGAATAGGTGTGGAGGATATTGCAATGAAGATTAGGTTTTGTCTAGTTTCAAAGAATTCGTTTAAACGCCCGTTTACACTTCGATATTTTTAGTGCGATTTTGTTCTTCTGATGGATGTGAACGAGTGGATGAGTTATGAATGTTCAGATGAGGGGACATGTACTCGATTTTCACTCGTTTCCAACCATTAAACTGACGCTAAGTCATTTGATCAATGGACCTATTACCAAATGAACAAAATTTTGACCTAGACAAGTCTACACAAAAATTTCATCACAGCTTGAAAGAGCATCACAAAATTAGTAATATTCCAAAGTTTCGTTGCGAAATGTTGTAAAATGCGGATAATATAGCCCTGCGAAGTTTGCCGTTTTTCAGTCATTTTGTATTACAAACGGGAAATTGATACCTTTTTTCAGAAGGCGGTATCAATTTCCCGCGCGTAATGTAAAATGACTGAAAAACGGCAAACTTCGCAGGGCTATATTATCCGCATTTTACAACATTTCGCAACGAATGCTCGGAATATTACTAATTTTGTGATGCTCTTTCAAGCTGTGATGAAATTGTTGTCTAGACTTGTCTAGATCAAAATTTTGTTCATTATAGGTAATAGGTCCATTTCTAAAGTTTATCTTTTTGGATTTTTTTTATTATTTTGGTTAGGGTTAGGCAGCAAAAAATTGCAAGTCAGGCCTTAATGATACCCTATAAGGTGACGTTCTTTAGTTGTGACATTTTATTTGTGGCAGTAACGGTTCATGGGTTACGTAAGTATGTCGGCTACCCCATGAGGTTATCTGATGGTGAACAGAACTCACGTGGGCGCTTCATTATTTTACTGAATGCATGTGCCCTACCCTAAAGTGATAGAATGTTGTACAGCAGGGTCGATTGTATAAATTTCATAACACGATTTTGATATTGGTTAATTTCGCACGAACTGTAAAGTTTAAAGTGCACCTAACCTCAATTATTTTTATCATCTCATTCTTAAGAACTTCTGAATTGATATAATAACTTGTTTTGAAGATTTTCGGTTGCTCATTTTGTTTCCGAGATATTTCAGTTTGGTATGCGAATATCCCGAATTTACGTCACAAATGCATAATGACTTAAAGTAAAAGCTTGTATATCGTGTTCACTATCGAGTTAAAATGAAAAAGTTTGGATTTGTGGGAGGACTACATACCTACATGTTAAACACCATTTAGCCTTTTCATTTCGTGATATTTTTAACTGTACCTTACATTCTTTGATCAGTCATTATTCACATGTGACGTAAATTCCGGACATTTGCATATCAATAAAACTGAAATAACTCTGAGACAAAGTGTGCAAACGAAAATCTTCAAAATAAGTTACAATATAATTTCAAAGGTTTTTAGGAATGAGATATTAGAAGAATTGAGGTTAGGTACACTTTACCTTTTTACAACCTGGCCCAGAACTCATGTGAGTAGAGTAGAGTCTCCCCTACGCTCTCTGAGAGCATGGTTAGATCGTGCAGAGGTACAACCTCGTTTCCAGGGTCTAAGAAACACCCTGGTACCGAGGTTGGCAGAGGTAGTGCATGTTCTTATTGAATATGGGCTAGCCTAAATTGTTACCTGATGTTGTACAGAACTCAACTGCTGAATAGAATTAAATCTATTCTTTGCCCTCTGGGTTAAGCATGATTATATCGCAGAGGTATAGTGCATGTTCTTGAATATTGTGAGCTAGCAACATAAAATGATCTGATGTTGTACAGAATATTTGAATATAGATTCGGTATTTCTTGCAGTTAATGCAAGCTATCGCTTCTCCCGCCCACTACACTCATTGCCCCTGGGTGAATGATGTAAAATGATTGTCAGATAATTATAAGTAATAGCATGGCTTGAGGGAGATTAGTGATTAAATGGCCCCGTAACCCGAGGCAGGTTTGCGGAATTCCCGAGGGCGAAGCCCGAGGGAATTCCGCAAACCTGCCGAGGGTAAGGGGTCATTTAATCACTAATCTCCCGAAAAGCCATGCTATTAGTTTGTAATAGCATAGTTTCGCTCCCATTTCAAAATGGACAAACATGCCCTACTTGGAATCAGCGTATTTAAGCTAAAACATTTGCTTCATTGCTTGTGGGATGTAAAAGCTTGTTGCACATGCGCACTTTTTACGCTTTAATCGGTTACGCATGCGCAATCTATCATTTAACGTACCACAACAAACACGCTAAATATATTAGTATAAATTTGGAGACTGCACGTGCGTAATTTAAATGATGCGGCAACTCAGGGATCGGATGATAGACTATTGACGGCTCTGAGCTAACTGTTGCTGTTCCTTGCACGATTATGTGCGTGTGAGGCACTTGCCTAATGCGTAGTCGTCAGGGAGACAAAGGTGTGACCCTTGGTAACGGGCGATTAGTTCTAATCGCCCGCTCTAGCGGGCGATTAGAACTAATCGCCCGCTACAGCGGGCGATACGTGATTAAACGTCCCTGTTGAAACAAAAGAAACCCGGGCAACTATGCTATTACATTATTTAACATCGCACGAGTTAGTTATCGTAACGAATTGTTTTTAACGAGACAAACCAATCTTCATGTTGAATAAAAAACAACCTATATAAACAGATATTCAAATAAGTCGATCAGCTGTAAATTTACTTCATAAAAACAAACACCAATAATGCATACACGCAAACTGTATATTTGTATATTTAATTATTTTCTTCTACTTTAATTTTCATCGATCACTTTCATCTGTAAATTATGTCGCGAAAATTTTAAAGTAGCATTCGTTCAAATTTACAACCGCAATGTAGGATGTATCTTATAAATCAGTATTTAAATTTTGTAAGCAGCTGGGAAAAATGGCAATTTTAAATCACTCGATACCAATGACAAGTCTTTGAGTAATATAGTTTTTTTGTTTGGAGGGGGTGGGGTGGGTGGAGTGGGCTGCGATAACACTGATGGACACGTACTGGGGGGGGGGAGGATGCAACTGCCCCTCCCCCAATGATTTCAAAAACCTTAAAGAATAATATACCTGAATAACTGTATAACAAAGTTGCAACAATAATTCTTCAACCATTGGTGGTTTAAGCTACATATTGTACGAAATGTAAGGCAAAAAACGTTTAAAGAACTGACATTTCCAGGATTGGTGACCTAGCTACAAAGTTGGCCTCCCCTTGTCCGCCACTGTACGATAATTCCCTTTATGTAATGACTTAAAAACTTGATATTTCAGTTCTCTCGGTAGGACGGGAGTGTGTGTGTTCCACAGCCTATTAGTATTATTTAAATATCGAAACGATATCATGTATATATTTATATCTTGTCAAGCAAAACTTATTTGGCAATGCCGACAATTAGAAAAGAAATTAACTGAACCATACACGGTGAAACGGAAGACGAGTTGAAACTGAAGACAAAATATAAGTGGATATCAGCATAAAAGATGGTGTTGTTGTCCATCAATCTTGAGATTTATAAAGTCCTGTATTTTCTCAGACCCACATTTTTTCTAGGCTTGTACGAACGAAACCACAACAAATAATTCGCGGTCAGTTTTGATTTCACATTGTATATTTAACCGGAAAGCCATGATTTATTTACAAGAATGATAGCATGGGAAACACACAGTATAATTAAAATTTGTTCAAGTTGACCCAAAGTAAACACTCTGTCACAACTCTTACGAAATTCACCCGTCTATTTTGACAAGGATATTTTACGCAATACTCTGTGTTGCTGGCTGTAGTATATTCGTCGTTTTGGTGAAGTTTTTGGGGATATTTTCATGAGGAATTGCCGAGACAAAAGTCAAACAAAGTGAGACAGGCGTATCGTATGATTTGAAGTGCGAGGGTATTGTTTTGCTTTCATTATTCATAAATATTATGGAAGGAATGAACTTCAAACGGGCTGTTCCTCAATTGACAAAAATCACACGGCTTGACTCGTCCGGGAATGGAAAATCGCCTGACCAAGTAAGTGGGTTTATTTTCGATTCATTAGTGTGTGGTGTGAAGGTTTTAGTCACTGATCTCGTTATTAAACTGAATAGAACAATTGGGTTTAATTGAGAATTGAATACCGATTGTTTATAAAGACCCGGTCAAGCGAGAATGAATTTCTATGGAGCTAATGAAGTTCTGCTAAATCTCATCGCTGCGGAACACACATGGTTTGTTGCCAAAAGCATTGTTACAATCTTGGATATAAGTCGTGAGACCATTCCAGCCAATATACTGCAAAGTTAATACACATTGACAAAACAAACTCCCCCCCCCCAAGTTCAATATTGTAAACAGCGCCGAAACAACTTTTGGCAGTTTATCATGACACAACATTGAGTTGGGAGAGCGGGGGCTTAACAAGGGCCACATGATTTAACATAAATAAGGGTATGCTAATTTTGTATGGAGGGAAAGATCTCAACTAATTTTTTTCAAGTTATGGTTGGTCTGGTATCATGTATCTACACTATGGCTGATCAGACGAATGATGGATACAGCCATAGGCGTACCGGGCGGGGGGGCGGTAGCCCCCCCAGTTTTTTGGGCAGTCGGGCAATATGCGATCAACAGTCGGGCAATTTTGGCTTGCAATAAAAAAAATGGGACAAATTCTGTCAATTTTGTCTAAAATTAAGTCAATTTTTTGGCAAATTTTGCGATTTTTCGAAAATTTGTGTTATGTTCCGAAAAAAATTGGTTGACCGGAAAAATTTTTTTGATACTAGTCGGGCAGAATTCGAAAAGTCGGGCAATTTTCTTTCCGCCCCCCTAATTTTTTCCTTCCGGTACGCCCATGGATACAGCTATTTCAATTAAGGTTGTCCACGAGCAAAGCGGAAAAGTCGAATACGAGCGCGAAAGGCTGCTGGGAATCGTTAACAAATTAATGAATTTTCAAAGCGGTTCCCAGCAGCCTTTCGCGCTCGTATTTGACTTTTCCGCTTTGCTCGTGGACAAGCTTAATTGAAATAGCTGTATATCCGCTAATGGTTCACGCATACGCGATCTAATGCGCGAACCACAGAGTCCTATGAACGAGTTTAGAAATTAATCACCTCGTCCACAGGTCCTCTCAGCCTCGCGCGACCTACACACGGAACCGTAAGTGTAAAAAAAGCTTGCAGTAGTTTCTAATGCGCATGCTCGTGAATTGATAGCGCTGTCTCAACGCTGAGTTTAATATACAGCAATCTCGTTCCCAGAGTATGCCTGTTTGCGGGTTAGGTCATGCCACAACCTAACCCGCGAACAGGCATACTCTGGGAACGAGATTGAATATACAGTAAATACTGTCAGCCTGCGTAGCAGGTGGTATTTCTACAGGCAGCGAAAATTAGGGAGGCAAAGGTAATTTCCTACGAACGATGAAACTCATTCCAACGTAAGGTTCAACCGACGCCAAGAATTTGCATCCAAGGCGCAACCTGTTGCCACCAAAAGTAGTGAGTAAAATTTCAGTAATTTTTTGGTAACATTTGGTGTTTGAATCGTATGGCTTGTGTAATAGCCTAGCCTGCAAAACCCGCTGATTTCAAACATGGATGGGAAATCGCATTATTGTTTTTGATCAAAACAATTACCTAATACTAATACAAATGAATTATCATATTTTACGTACGTCAGCAGGACCGCGCTAACCCGGAGTCTGACTGATCAATGGACTAATTAATAAAAAACACCACATCAGGCCCATGTATTAATCTTTTCTTCAACTTTTCAAGTCCAGGGTCATAGCTATGACTATGACAGCAGTTTCACTAGTAATAAAATTCTAAAAAAAAAATCGCATTTCTAATTCGCTATTTACAGTTAAAACAAATTGAAAATAGTTAACACATTTGATGATTTGAGTTCAGATCCCAACTCAAATGTAAATAAAATTTGAATAACACCTTTTTGTTTTTAAAGCAATCAGAAATACAAATAATTCATCAGGCATCACGCACAAAGACTACTGAATTTGGAAGAAATATCGTATTCGGTATTCTCTTTATTTTGCCCCCTGGCCAAGGGGTCGAGACCAACTTTAATAAAATATACACTTTACTACTTTTTACGAAACGAAATTTTTTTGTGTCAAACTCAGTCGTATATTATTTATGTTGCATATTAAAAAGCGTCTGTTTTCATAAAACAGTGATATAATCGTCTTCTTTTATAAGACTGTAATTAATATTGACTGTAAAGTCTGTAATATTTCAACTCGGACTTTTTTCAATTTCGAATTGCTCCAGAAAAGTTACAACATTTTTGTTTTACAATTTACAGTAAATGGATAAGAACGTACTGTATTTGTTCTTAAATGTTGCATTAAAGCCCTGTATTTTTAAAAACAGCTATGTATATTTTACGAATTCAAAACGCTAATTTTCCAAACAAAAACTTGTATAATTGCTTTCCATTGTGTTGTAAATTGCCTATGTATCCGGTGTCCCCCCCCCCCCTGGTTCTTTCCGGCTGGCGAGTTTAAATTACATTTGACAGGTTACACTTGAGAAAAGGGGGAAACATTACAAAACACGGCAGCACGCAGCTCGAATTTCAGTCTTAAATCCAAACCTGTTCTTTCAAGAAAGGGCTAGCAAGACGGATTAGAAGGTATTAACAAAGCTCAACAAATATTGACCTAGGGAATTTTGTTAGTTTTTGTTCGTGGGTTGTCGTGAACGGGGCTCAATATTTTCGTATTGTGTTTGTGTTTTATAGCGAGTTGTGGTGGACAGGGATAATCCAAGGATCCTTGACGAGTGCTCTGAACGTCCTGCTCAAAACCTGCCACCTTCCGGACTCGAAAGGTAAGCCTCTTGAGGAGAAATTCTGAAATTTTGAACTTTTTAAAGCGCACTTGTTGATGTGAAATATAATACCAACAAACAGGACACCGGTAGTTTTACATGAGGCGCTATATATTAAAACAGTTCACTTTCAAATTTATTGCCACACATAACTCGTATAATATTAAAGACATACACTTATGGAAAAGTCAACCAAGCATTAATATTTCAACAAATTTCAGATTTAATAAATCTTGTTAATGCTTGTGGTTTGTAAATTAAAAAAACTCGAACAAACTGTGATTTGTTAATGATATTGCTCTGACCGCTTGACCCGTCCTATTTCAAAACAAAAAGCGTCTGAAATCCACAACGTGGCGAAGCTTGGCTACAATGAATTCGCTATTTTGTAATTTCATGTGTCGGATTTTTGGTTTAAAAAGTGAACATTTTTCGCACTTTTACACAAACGTGTAATAATTTATAATCGAAGCGCGTCGTCGCGGCTTGCAATTAGTGCTTATCTTTTAAACAAAAGGTTATCAAGTCTGTTAATTGCAACATCTGCTTTCTGATAGATTGAAAATTGAAAGCCTGTGAATAAATTTTGCGTTACATGGCGCCAAGGGTTTTTTATTTTCGAAAAGTTGGCTTGTGTTTAGAAAATGTTATTTTTTTATTTATGTGTGAACTGGAGGGGGGGGGGGCGGAGGGATGGAAAAATTGGCAACTATAGATGAACAACTATTAATCAAAACTTATTGGGGGGGGGGAACCCCACAACGTTCAAAAAGCAGAAAAAGTCAGTCCCGATTTTCAATTTGAACCGACAAGAGGAGAGCTCATTTTCAATATTTTATAAATATGTCAATATCAACCTGAGGACTCACAATGCAGCATTTGCATATTTCTATGCTATTGCATATTCACAAATGTCTGTTGCAGACCAGGAAAGTCAGTCCCAGATATCATCCCAACCCCTCAGCAATTTGTTGAATATGTGCCCCTGAATGTCTGTTACGAATTTTCGTGCCAGAATAGTGTGCCGTTTATCCGCCAATGCAATGTAACCTCACTAGACGATTGGTTGTTCCAGAAAAGATTCACAATCCTCCCACAGAGGAAAATTCTGCCATCCAGAGAGGGGGGGGGGGATAATTTGTTTGTGGTAATAGTAACTGTATTAGGACATCTGAAGTAGGTAGGGTTAACTTCCAATTTCTTCAGCAGGGAGGTATGGAAATGTTTTCTGGGATAACATATAATATAATAATATGACTGTTCAATGACTGTTCATTGTCATCAGTCTTTGCAATTTTTCAATGGCAATTGCTGCAGATAATGCCTCCGAAAATGAAGTTACCGACAGCAATTTTCTGCCGATGAAATTTTTGTGGCCACTACTACCTTCCCATGGAAATCAGAAAAGTTTCCATGTCTATAAACACAATTTGATTTAAAAATATTTGTTTTAGGTTAAAAGATATGATAAGACTCGCATTTATTTTACCATTTCATGGCACCTGTGTTGCCCCAAAATTCTGACATGAAACTTCATTATTTGAAACACTAATTTATTTGAAGCACTATTTGAAAATTCAAACTTGCTCAGAGGCAATCGAACTGAAAGTTAGTTGAACCTGAAAGCTGGTTCCAATTATACTGAATTTCTGTTGTGGAATAGACAGTATGTTTTTATCTAATGTGCTTTTATCTTTGTTAGAATGATCAGGCGATCGCCTCATGCATCTTCGTTCAGAAATTATACTCCACCAAACTTTACTGCTCGACGTCACTCAGATGGCTCATTCCCATTCCTGCCAAAACCAAATAGCAGAGTCATGTGAGTACCACAGTATTACTTTGTGTGTGTTTAGATATTTTGGGATATGCATGAAACATTGCTTGTTCATAACATATAACATAGCTTTATAATTATAAAGTCTAAAATGATGGAGAATTTTTAGTTCTTACAGTTGTGAAATAAGGGGGGGGGGGGTGAGCAGCTTCATATCCCTCCTCCCTCCTTTCCATTTTACCTCCAAACTCCAACACCAATTTGCTCAAATTCTCCACAATTTCCCCGTGTTGTCCCACCAATTTTCTTTCAAATTGGCCCCCACCCATCTTTAGAACCTCTCACCAATTTACCACCCACCCCCACCACACATCCCCCACCCCCATTTCCCCCTCCTCACTCCTCCTATCCCACCTACACATGATATTTGAACCCCCAGCTATTGAACAAACAGAAAATTAAAAGCAAAAATAATAAAATCATTACAAACAAAGAATTATAAGCGTGGAGGAAATCCCACACTCAAAAACAACAGCGTGGTAATCATTAGCGCTTATTAGCCTTAGCTACAAAGTTCCTGGTTATCAGTGTTCCCTTTCTTCTTTAACGAGTAGTTTGTTCTTGGTACAAATTGCATGATTAAACCTCTGACTCCTCTTGACCTTCTTTTGGATGTGCAGTGGATTCTTGTGAAGTAGCTGGATTAGCTGAGCGCATTTGACCACTTTAAACTGAAAATTTGCATTGGCATTTCTGACTTGAATCAATCTTCCTGTTTTCGTGTATAAAGGCGGTTACAAACTTAATTATGGCTTCTTCTACCTTCCCGATATATCAACCAAGCAAACCTCAGCTTTATATTATATGTCAGACTCTTCACTTCTCTTTCTTTCCGATGATTTTTCATTATTTCAACTAGCGAACACCTTAGACGCGGCGCACGTATTTTGCAAACCTCAGATCTCTTAGCCATCATTAGAATATGGATTGCGGAATATATTTTGTCTACACGTGCCAATTGACGTATTGCCATATTAATACCTTGATTCCTGCCTAGACTGTCTATGTTGGCCTTTTTTCGATATATTCCTTCTATATTCCTTCTTGACAAGTTGTATTCGTTGTTTGTACGGCAAAACGTCTTAAGGATAAATCTTACTGAAATGAAATCCTTAGAACTTACCTTGGAATGAAAATATCGGTAGATTTGTTGCTAATGCTAGCCATATTTGTAGATATGCTATTTATTTGAATTAATGTACTATACATGCAGTGCTAACAGTGGCACCTATTAAGACAATCCTTAAAACGGATCTTAAAAATGTGTTCCCCGGGGTGATTCGCGCGTATCGTTATAAGGGAATGTAATATATGCCGCTCAAAATGCGCTCGTCTTTTGGAACTAAGTCAGCGTATCGTGTTGAACATCAACATTAGTTTAGACTTACAGTATTAAACAGTACAGGGCCGTGACCGTTTGTTCTAGAGTCTTATAGTGAGCCGCAATATATTATGCGCGGTTGTGTACTTTTGATATTGACAATAATGCATGAGACAGCATTGTCAGCTAATATAAGTCCTCGCCCAGGAAGTGCCGGTTTAATATACAAGGGATTTTCATTTTTATCTGCAAGTGCAAGTAAGATTTCTATTTCGGGATAGGAAGTTTTACTCGCCAAGCTTAACTTACAGTTACTGTAGTAACTCCAGACGAAGGGCCTTGGCTCGAAACGTCCAAATTCTCCTTATATACTTAGGTAGTTGAATCCCTACCAACGAAAAAATGTATAATTCTTGACACATTTTTCTTGACAATATTCGTTGACAAGGTATTTTATCTCCTATATATATGTCAAAACATTGGCAAGTTTTCCGTAACAAAGTTTTCCATGACGAATCTCTTTGGATACATCTAGTCGTGTCAGCTTTTCAACTAAGAGACTGACTGGAGCTGTCGATACTTACTTTCAAAAGTATATATATGCTTTATTAAAGAAACTTTGCAGTAGCAAAAGCAAGCTGAATTACGTTATCATACATTAGAAAGATTTACACTATATATACAGACAAATAATGCTGAATAGTAAAAGGTATGTAGCTTTTCTTAAACCGTTCTGTTCGGCGTTTAACTAGTGATAAATTCCGCTTTTGTCTCACTATGAAGTTGTAAGTTATCGGTTCTCTTCGGTAAGAGTTCAGAAAGTTGATCTGATTATTAATATAGTTAATTTCCTAAAAAACTTTTAACAAAGATTATCTCTTTTTGTCGAGAGAGAATTAAGACCACTTTTGGACTACCTCTATAGGGAGAACAGTTTAGAACTGATAGAATAAAGTTAGTTTCGTTTAGATTTCCTCCCGTAGTAACAATGTAACATGCACTTGACTATAACTAAGTATGGCCTTCACTGAATCTTAAGAGTGATAGGATTATAACCAGTATAAATACATTACGTTCTTACTCGACCAATGAAGAGAACAGTTTAGAATTGATAAGCTTAGATTTCTCCCTGTAGTAACACTGGATCAGGAAGGGATAATCCTTACTGGACCTCTAAGGAGAGCAGTTTAGAACTGATAGAACTATCCAGTATAAATAAAGTTAGTTTAGTTTAGGTTTCCTCCTGTAGTAACACTGGATCAATAACAGATGATCCTACTGGACCTCTAGGAAGAGCAGTTTAGAACTGATAGAGCTATCCAGTATAAATAAAGTTAATTTAGTTTAGGTTTCCTCCAGTAGTAACACTGGATCAATAAGAGATGATCCTTACTGGGCCTCTAGGGAGAACAGTTTAGAACTGATAGAACTATCCAGAATAAACAGAATTAGTCTGTCAATATACACAGGAGCAACTAGAAATTTTAATTAAAATGTTTCAAGGAAAAGGGATCTGTACAACCTACGGGGGTTTACCTTTGAGACTGTTTCATTTCCTCTGCCACCCCATTGTACGTATATCATTGTGTGTCGCAACGTGTGTGGGTGTGACGTCATAAGAGCTCCTTCCGCTCTTGTGGATGGGTGGTATAATTTAACATAAAAGGCCTTTTTTAAAGTTTGATTATTTAATGAATTATAAGAATAAGACAAGGTTTAAATTGAAGTGTACACAAGTCTTGTGATTCAAAGATAAGGAGTGTGAAAGATACAGCTAGCTTTAGTGGAGTGTGTCGTCTCGTATAATGCCAATGCTTAAACCAGGGATGAAACGTGAAGCGAGTTTTGTATCGTGGACCTCTACAAAGAGCGCCAAAAGCAGTAAAAGGTCAGGAACTTACAGTGGTCTATATTAGCAATGTTGTTGTTTGGCCAAGTGTAGGGTAATCCGTGTAATTAATGTTCAAATTATGAACTAGGTTTTGTCTGTTATGGAGGTGGGGTTTAGGAGTAATATTTGATGTCCTTGGTGTACGAAATGCGTATAAAGTCTTGGTAGTCAGCTATAGTGTTGGTAGTATTCTACAACAAGCTGCCGTGATTTGTGTTTGAACTGCCTAAATTTAGGTAGTTCGAACGGAATCCATTGCTACCAAGCGCCAAAGGTTTCCTCCTGAAGTAACAGTGGCCAAATAAGGAATAATAGTCCTTACTAGACCTCTACTCCAGGAGGGAACAGTTGAGAAGTGACTGAACTAAATAGTATAAATAAAGTTAGTTCTTCCTGTTATAATACTGCTGTACTTCTATAAAGATATATGTTCATGCATTGCTGGACCTCTATGGGAATTACAGTTTAGAACCAATATAAGAAATATTTAGTATATTAAGTAAGTAAGTAAGTTAGTTTCGGTTTCCTCCTGTATAGTAATACCAGAGATAGTTAAAGATGATCCTTACTGGAGCTCTATGAAAAACACATAAGAGATTATCCTTACTGGACCTCTAGGAGGAAGTGTGTAGAACTGATAGAGCCACCCAATGTTAACATGCAAAGTTAGTTTCGTTTTAATTTTGTTGCCAATGCTACAAGCCTATTAAAATGTTTTAGGGTAATTATTCAGTGTAATAGTTAGGCTTATCATTCAATGTAAATACAAGGAGGCGTTGAAAAAATACATTTTTCACATCTCAGAGGATGATTCTCTAATAAGTATTTTAAGTACATATGCCACACGTCGCGGAATTCAAGAATATTTTGACACTGCCGGACACTCGATAATATAGTGATGATGCGAATTCAAGACGCCAGATACCTGTTTCCGCGCTCATTTGTTTTTCCCTCAAATCTAATGCTAATTTTCTCAGTTCAAAGGATTTCAGTATTGAAAATAACCTTGTAATTAATCCATTATCTTTTCGAGACTTTTTGGCAACTTTGAGGTTGTTGTTTCAGTGATTTTCTAGTGTTTTCGGGAAGTGATAAAGGCTAACCAAAGCCGTATAGGCGTTCTGTTTGTCGGTGGGGTTTCGTGGGGATACCGAATCTCTTTATATAGAAAGTTGCCAGTACGTCTGTCTAGGGGGAAGTAGTTTGGTTTTATATGAATGGGGGACGATTACAAGACAATTTTGTCTTTATTAAAGCTTTATTTAATATCTGGTGTCATTCCAAACCGCTATTGTGATGTGTATCTGTAAAATTAGTGATCAAAGGTATTCGGAACTCTTGCCAAATTTAAGCATAAATACTCCCGTGTGTCTTTGTATTACCATGACTTCACAGACGAATGGATTACCTCGCGCTCTCCCGCGTTACAAATATTGACTACATGATTAGCAAAGGTGTAGTCCGAAATGGGGAGTCATAGTTACTGAACAGGCGGCCAGGAGCGGCTTAATGAGCCTTCTACTCGATCAAGTTGTGCTGCGTTCCTGGTAATTCAAGTTCGCTGTCAGTAATCTCAAGTTCGCTTTGCAAGTAAGGATGATAAGCACAGTTGCCTATATGGTGACTAATATATATCGTGCATATCGCATCCGATTCATTGGATATCTTGAGCAACTGCATTCGAGGGCCCTTGTCACAAATGACGAGCTTGCCACCGGTTACAACACGCATGCCGGACGTAAAGGAATGAAAGAAACGACACTAAAAGCCTTCCAATCTGATAGAAACAACTGTTTAGACCGGTTAGCTACAACCAATCATCTAACATTTAAACAGTTGAAGACGAGAAAATGTTATTTCCCTAAACCATGAATGATTGAATGAATTCTTTGCTGGATGACACTAGATCTTGAAAAGGGGGGGGGGTTATCGGAATCCTGAGGAACGCCTTAGCAAGAAGGCTGAGGAACATTTTAAAGGGAGAATCTGTCATAAGAGAATCTTAAAGAATTATTATATCACACTTCTTTATCTGTCTGGGAAAGCACGGCTCGGACATGAGATTCAATCTCCATAACGGTGAGGGCCCCTACTCTCACCCTGATGTTGTTTCTGCAGCTTTTCTAGGGGCCTTACCCTCAAGAAACCGCAATTTCCGTCGCCTAAATTTGAGATTATGAAGTTCGTTCAATGCAAAGGACTGAATGCATTTGTGCATTAGTAAGGCTAAATTGGACAATTGGTTGGAAATTAAATACAGCATGTAAATCGATGTTTGTTTAACTTTGTTTAACCAATTTTAACCTTTTTAACATTATTAATATTTTTATCCATAACTGTATATATCTAGTTATTACCTTATAGATATCAATAATTTTATCTTATATATTTTTATAATGTAAACTCACAGACGGGTGTTCTTGAGTATGAATAAAGACTGTTATTATTATTATTATTATAAGGCACTGCATCTCCAAATACCCGCGTCCCCTTTGTATACCCTTCACTTTTCATTCAGACTATAGTGTTCAATGGCTAGTAATTGTCGATTTCAGGTAACTTTTCAACACGCTGTTCCCAAGTTCGTTGCGAACTTGCCAATTCCGTTGTAAGTTCGGAAGTTGGGCGTGAACCTCGCAACGAAGTTCGCAAGTTCATTTCAAAGTTCGAACTTTGATTGTAAACAAATGTTCATAGTTGGAGTTGAAATTACTGTATAAGGCCCTATGCACATATTACTGCAGTAAAATATTGGTCCAGTGGTCTTCCAAGACGAAAATGCCTTTTTAAGTAAATTTATAAATGAAATTTTTACATTTGTTTACAATAGAAGTTCGAACTTTGAAAGGAACTCGCGAACTTCGTTGCGAAGTTCCCGCCCAACTTCCGAATTTTGAAACGTAATTGCATGGCAAGTTGACAACAAACTTGGGAACCGCGCTCTGAAAAGTAATCTGAAATCGACAATAACAAAAGCGATTCTTTTCTTTGCTGCAAAAGGTCTGCCTTGGCGTCTACATTAGGGGGAAATTTTTAAAACACAAGATATTTGATATTGGTGTATAATCTCCACGGGGTGTATAATCTCCATGCGACGTTTCGCTTGTGATGCATATACCTGCGCGTGATCTAAGGGCGGCTTTAGCAAGGGAGGAGTAACACCACCCTGCCGCGTATATGCCACCCCTAAGACTATACAACCCGCCAATATCCCCTATCTTATCAATTAGTTTCACCGCTCGGGCCTCTTGCTAAGTCGTATGTCTATATATGGCATGATTGACCAAACATTGCGCACTGCACACGCAAACCAAGTACCCTTGCTTCCGTGAATAAATGTTTATTAAATCTATGAAATTCTGCCATTCGATTGGTCCAGCTCTCCTGTATCTTATCTCTGATTGGCCAAGGCGAACATGTCACTTTTATTTTTAGAAGTCCTTGAGTTCACATGTATGTGTGTGTTTCTTGTCCTCGTGTCCTCCCGTCGTTCCGTTATGTCAATATTTCACCGTCTGGATATTCTTTTGTGCGTTCATTTGAGGATTTCGTCTTTGTAGGAAGCAGTTTCGGTAGAATTTAAGAGAAAAGTTATAAATTCACCAAACTAGAGTTTAAGTATCACGTGTTGGTTATAATTGGACTGTGCAATCCTGGAATCTGGAAGCATACATTCCTAGTTATCTGGATTAGAATCGTGAATTTGCCCTGTTAAAAGGCTGTCTACGTCATATTTATCGCTTATCTGTTGTGTTCCCCTCTATCCACCGTGTGCATCGTCTATACATCTGCCGTATTCTTAGCTCGTGTCGTGAAATATTTATAAAAGGCGGTAAATATATACATCGGAGGTATATATCTTCATATCACCCTGGAGTGCCTAGTGGAGGTTGTCCCAGTGAGAACTATGTCTATTCGAAATTCCAAGTCGTCAAAGGCAAAGTCACCAGGTTCAGCGATGCAACGTCGCAGTGTCAAATTGTAAGATATATAGCATATGTATATATTTAGAAACTTTTGAGTGGAGGGGAGGTATACTGCGGGTCTTGTAGCGTGATTGTAGTTCTTTAGTAAGTTTTCAACCATGAATAATATAGGGAGAAACTTTAATTAGTTGAGCTTGGTCCTCAGCTAAGGTGGAAATCTTTACATAACTGAATGTCCTGGTGTGTAGATCCCATCTTGTGAAATGCATGTCTTTTTGCCTTTCAATTTGTGGTAGATTCTTGCCAGCGTAAATTTCAAACTGTTTATTGTCAGTGTAGACAGTGTACCATTACTCGTTACCCTAAACTTCCAACTCTTGATTCTCAGCATATAGATTGTTCCTCTTGAAATACAAGTCTCAGTTTCACTGATGGTCTTAAAAGACACTTCCATTGCCATAGATTCTTGCTAACCTTAATTTTAAACCGTTGCTTGTCAGCGTATGTATAACATTCCCTAGACATTGGTTCTCCATGTAACACTCTTGAAAAACATGTTCTATGCGGTAGATTCCCGCTAATATATCTAACCATTATCAACAGCAAAATTTTAATAAGAACGGAGTTATGACATTTCTGAGCACTGGGGGAATTATATTTAATTATAATGATTTAAATTGGATGATTAAAATATTAGTTAAAACAACAATATCATTCTAATAAGCTTTGGATTTATTGAACATCTTCAATACTGCATTAATATAACTATACAAACAACTTAACCTAACATCTTTATAAAACAACGTCTCTTTATTCGTACGAGTATTTTTTTCCTTATCCCATTCTGTTCCATGCTTGCACACTTTGCCGTCAAAAGTCTTTTGTCACCGAGGCACACGCTGGTATATTGTTTGTATATAAAAATATTGCTTATGCGTGCTTCTTTCTTCCATGTATAATGCCCGCTTCACAAAAAAAACCATTGATAGACATTATCTTTTTACCACAGAACTAGTCTAGAGTCAGTTTGAATCTCGTGTGAATTTGAAGAACAAAAACCCCTTATTCCTTAATTAGAAATGTATGTGTTTTGCACAAAAGATCTTGATTATAATTTTTTTAAAGAATCATTTTACTCATTGTACAAGTTTTCTGACTTAACTGTGTCAGATTGGATAAACTGATAACCTATAGGCCAAATCCGTAATATTTTCACCGTATTTTATAAAAGGAAACTAGCTAGTTCTGTTTCACCTTGTCAGAAATGTCTCGAAAGTTCAAGTGTTGGGTTTGGCGCCAATCCGGATGGGATATTGAAGACCAGCGTTGAATTGAGTTTTGAAACCGACTAAAAGTTCAATGAAACCTTTTTTGGACACTTTCAAAGGGCATACAAACTATATTATGTTAAGACTAGATCGGCATTCCCCTTATTTAGGAAGTATTAGCGCGACCCTATAGACGAGTTTGAATGATTTTTCATATTTTTCTTCTGACCGTCGAGACGTGAATCAGCAGTCCAATATCTCGAGTAGTGGCGGATGTATTCTCGTCTGAATAATTAAGTTCAAAACATGCAAGCTGGCAAATGTTCTAATTTTGTTTTGACAGTTCTCGTTTTCGTCGCTTTCTTACGGATAGAACAGATGTTAAGCCCGGATCAATGAGGACGAGAGTGCACAAGGATTGGCAGTCACGCGCGATCCTATTTATAGTTTGTTCATAATGATTTCACGATTTTGACAATACCCTTTCTTAATGTTATACCGAAATCTGGTATATACTCGTGATGCTCATATATTATATGACAAAATCCAGTATTCTCATGTAGAGCATGCTCATATATACCAAAATCCAATACCAAGATCCAGTATACTCATAATTACGTCATGCTTGTATATATATAGGAAGAACAGCTTAGAACTTATAGAGATATCCAGCTAGTATAAATACAGTTCGTTTAGTTTAGGTTACCTTCTGAGTTCTGTAGTAACACTGGACCATGCGATGGATGAAACTTACTAATCTCTATGGGAAGAACTGAAAGAGCCATCTAGTATTATTGGGTTTCACTACGGTATTTTGCAGTGAATCTGACGGGGGGTCAACCTAAAATGTATTGATGCTTGTGCTGTACTGGAGTGAGCAAATGATACGAAATTGCATGTATTCGCCACCAAACACAAGGCCCGCGACACATACAGTGAACAATTAATTCACTCTGATGATTGTGTCTCGATTTAGAGTTGACCCCCCGTCAAATTTATAACGTCATGAAACCCAAGAATATATGAGAATAATATTCCAAAGTAAAAGTAATTTCCTGTAGTTCCAACAAGTTTACACAAATTTCTATCCGTACAGTACCAAAGGCAAAGTTTTTTATTTATTCTTGTAAATTCTTACAAAGCCCGACATTAGTTAGGATTGTGATTATAAATTAACGAAACAAACGGATGAAACGAAAAACGCTTGAAAAGGATACAGTAAGTACGACTTTCAATTGTCTCTGAACGTGAAAAGTGTTTTGAAGAGGCTAAAGAAAACCAAAGAAAAGCTGCCGTGTTTTGTCCGAAACACCAAAATTCGTTGTGGTAGTTCAGACACAAACCACGGCAGCTTATTGCACGGGGGTTATACTATTAATACTTTAAAACTAGTTTTAACTCTACCTACATTGGACCCACAACTTATGGTGGTTTTATTTTCAATATTCTCCAGGGAGAAGCTGACTCCTCACAGAATACAACGTTGGTCCTATTCATTCCTGGATCTACTTAGTGATCATGTTGGAATACAGATGTTCCTCGCTTTTCTCGAGAAAGAATTTAGTGCAGAGAATTTAAGGTAATTGCTCGTTTTCAATTAATAAGCGAAGTACAGGATTGTATTTCAGATTAAGATCGGCTGCTCATGTTTTAAAACTTGAGGTTCAAACTTAATGTTATATTTCTTCACTTCGATAATATAGATTTTGGTTAGCATGTCAAGAATTGAAACAAACTCCACGAATGAACGTCCCGAACTTAGTAAATAAAATATTTAGGTAAGATGTTCCGAAACGTTCAGTGGAATGTATTCAATGACGCAGAGTTATTTAAAACGATTAAAACCACTGTCTTGCTGGTGGTAACACTGAAGCAACAAGGAGTGATCTTCATTGGATCTCTAAGGAGAACAGTTTAGAACTGTTAGAGCTATCCAGTGTAAATAAAGTTAGTTATAGGTTAGGTTTCCTCCTGTGGTAACACTGGATCAATAAGAAATTATCCTCACCATGCATGGACCTCTAGGGAGAACAGTTTAGAACTGATATAGAGCTATCCAGTATAAATAAAGTTAGTTTAGTTTAGGTTTCCTCCTGTAGTAACAGTGGATCAATAAGAGATGATCCTTACTGGACCTCTAGGAAGAACAGTTTAGAACTGATAGAGTGATCCTTACTGGACCTCTAGGGAGAACAGTTTAGAAAGGACTATATAGATGATGACTCTCGCTGGATCATAAAATTCAGTATTTTCCAGTATTTATTTGAAAACTAAATATTTTCGGAGTCACCGCAAATTTTAGCTAAACTGTTTGATCTTATATTTCAGTGATTTTCTGGACCAAGAATCCACTCACGCCATAAATGTTGATGCAAAAACCTACAATCACGTGAAGCTAAATCTGAGTAATCCATCTTATAACACATTTGATGAGGCGCAGGTATGAAGTGACTTGATTAAGTACTTGCATGATTTCTCGAAGCTCTGCTTTCTCCCTGTATTGCTTACTGTATATGTAGAAGGTTTGCATTAGGTTGAAAAATATATAAAACGCTTGATTGAAATCCACCTATATACTCTGTACAATTTACTTAATAAGGGACTGGTCATAAAGTAACTGATAGGGTGGCCCGCAGGGAGAAATAGGTTTTCCAAAAAAAACCGGTGACCCTAAAAAAATTTCAAAGCCCATCGTAGGTCATTGGAAAAATTTCACGACCCATCCTGTTGTACATGAATATGTACAGTATAGCAGTCACTTTGATCAAACCATGCACTGAGTGACTTTCCCATAACTTTATAGGACAAATTAATTGGTTATAGTATGTATTGAGTGCAAACAGATTATATGTGTTTCATGGCCCATCCATTTGCACAAAAAACAAATTCATGGCCCACCAAAACTGATGAAAATAATTTCATCGCCCATCCTTATTTCCTCCGGCCCACCTTAGCAGTTACTTTATGACCAGTCCCTAAGTGTGTAATTCAGGGGTCCAATATTTGTGAGCTGCCCCGGGCGATTTCGCCGTCTCTAATACAAACGAAAAATTTTCTCTTTGTTTTTGTAACGGAAATTTGACATTATAATTATCTTACTACAGGAGAAAACCCCAACTAATCCAACTCCTGATCTCTTTGTAGGAACATATTTTTCAACTCATGAAAACGGATAGCTATCCAAGGTTTATACGCTCGGACAAATACAATCAAATTCTGAAGGACACCAGTGGAAAATCACGGAAGAAATGAATCGCTGAATTGATCTTAAAGAATTTAATTGATCTTGTGGTCTTTAAGCGCGCCTTAAACACAGGATTCGCATTTCTATAAGATAGTATGATTTAATCAGATTTGTGTCCTGGGAAAAACCACGGGAAGAATTTCACAATTCGTAATAACTGTTTATTACCAATTCATTAGGCCCTCATGGTGAAATGAGGATAAGAGTTTATGGGAGTTGCATTAAGGCAACGAGAGTTTGCCAATGTTTATCTACACGGGTCAATAACTTTTAAGGATAATTCGATTGCCTGTGCACATGGCGTTTGCACATGACGTCACAGCCGCCATGTTGGTGTTCCAATTCAAACGAATTTTAATTAGACTCTTTTTTTCTGGAACACCAACATGGTCGCCATGACTTTTGTTGAGTTGATCCCTGGGAAATGAGTGCAAACGCTCAATTTTCCTTTTTCCCATTTTATGATTAGGTAAAATTGAACGGTTGTGACTAGGCTTGCGATTTATCTAAAGTCGTGAATTGGTTATAAACAAACTTTAGCCAAAATCCAGTTGACAACGTTTGCCTTTTATCCACCCATTTCGAACACATATGTAATTTGAATGGTTGGTTGGTTACCTATGCTCTATTCTATGCTTACAGAATTCAGGTTCAGACTTCACTACCACTAGTCACTACATCGAAATGGCTCAGTTCGTATTTGATTGGCTAATAGGGTAGATTAAACGCATCTGATTGGCTCATGGTAGCGGTAGTCGAATCTGAACTGTGGTAACTTGGTTACATCAAAATGTAGGGTGAGGCGGTTTTTCGGGAAACCGAAAAAACCCGATGTTTTTGAAAACCGAAATATTCGATGTTACTTTTGGAGAAAAACCGAAAAACCGGGGGAAAACGGGAAAAAAACGAAGAAAAATCGGTATTTTACTGAAATCGAACCATACTTATACGAGTTTGATGCAATTGAATCACGTTTTGGCATTTACACACGAAAAACTAAAGAGAGTTTGTGTGAAATTTGATAACGTCTTCAAAATACCTTACGTTTAATATCTTGCGTGAGTACTCAGTAGCGTGTTGTGTCTTTTTTTACAGTAGTTTTGATTTTCGACGTCTTTTTTTACAGTAGTTTCGATTTTTAAAAAACCGGTTCACTCGGTTTTTTCGGTTTTTTCCAGTCGGTTTTCGGTTTTCGTTTTTTTGTAGAAACCGCCTCACGCTATCAAAATGTAAATTGTCACAATCAAGCATAAACAATGATTTAGCGATTATACAGGGTGTCTCAAAAAAACCCAAAATCATTGAAATTGACGTATTGTTCGATATTCAATGCCCTAGCACTAAGTTAATCCCACGAGTGCATAAAAGATTGACATAACTGCTATAATGAATGGTAATACTCAGCGTAAACTTGTTATGTCAGGCATAAAGTACTAAACCCACGAATGCATATTACGCATATTACAATTTACGAAGCATTTTAAATTCCTATGAGCAAACAAACGTTCACTTTACAAAGATATTTTAATTTTTTAAAACAAATTAATCACCCTGTCAAAATCCTTTGTGTTACGGCATTGAAATTCGAACAATACGTTATTTCAATGATTTTGGGTTTTTTTGAGACACCCTGTAGAGCGTTTATACATGACGTCACAGCCGCCATGTTGGTGTTCCAATTCAAAATAATTTTAATTAGACTCTTTTGTCTGGAACACCAACATGGCCGCCATGGCTTTTGTTGTATTTTTCTTTTAAATTCACCAGAGGGAAAAAATGAGTTATCGAGTTTATTTAGGACTTCACCACCAAAATGACTGCGCACTATTGAGATTTATTTTTCTGGGATCTATAAATTTAAGATTCCGAACAAATTTAGAGTAAACTTTGAGATTATTTTTTGGGATTTATAAATTATTATCGGGGAGAGATTGTAAATTTAGTTCATTTGTGTATAAAGTATTAAATTAAGATAGAGTTTGGCCTGTTTTATACGTCGAATTTTGGTCGCGTCGAATGCAATTAAGACAATAGATAATGAGATAATAAACCTCATTAAACTTCATTATCTATTGTTTGAATTGCATTCGACGCGACCAAAATTCGACGTATAAAACGGGCCTTTGTTGTTTAAATTAAATTTAGTCATATTGTAGTCATTTTGCACAATATTTTAATTGTAGTCATTTTGCACAATATTTTATTATTGCTGCCGAGCGTAGCGAGGCAGCACACTATTCTTGACACGTGGTGGTTGCTCCAGAGTCCACTCGACCCAGTCTTTCGCGCGATCTATGTATAGTCGACATCTCGATCTTGTGCACTGAGCTATACTATATTACTGGAGGACGTGCTCGGCATCAAAAAGTGTCCGCAAAAACATGGCGGATTTTCGCGCCATATGACGCCATTTCCATGACAACTGGTTCCTCCGGCTCATGGAATTACCGCTGACCAGGCTCAATTCTGAGCCCGCTACAATTTTCACACCCCCCCTGGTTTTATCAAAAAAATTTTTGCTTTTCGAGGTTTTTGCAGTAAAATCTCGTTGTTTTTTTGTATTTTTTCGACTTTTGACCATTTGTAAAAAGATTTAAAAGTCGTACACGCTATTCTTACCGGCGAAAGACAACAAACCAATATGAAACGCCCGAGAAATTTAGGCAAAGGCGATATGTGATGGCACAGCTCACAGGTATAAACCGTAAAATATATTTCACATACTGTTGATATGCTTTTATTTTAAATTTTTAAAAGATAATGCGAGTAAATGATAGAATATAATCCATTAGATAACAGGCTCTTTGTATAGTATAACGTATTATTTTCCCCCATGTGTTCAAAGTCTTGTCGTAAAAAATACAGAAACTTTGTTTCTATATTTAAATTAATTTTTTTTGTTGCTTTTTTTTACTTTACCAGCTTTGTCAAATTGTTGGCTGGCCATGGTTTTTGTTAAACAAATTTTGTTTTATTTAATTCAGTTAAATCAGTTTTTCCCTCAAATCCTTTGGGTTTTCTATATATACTGATGACTGAAATCTGACATGCTTGATTTTATGCAATTGTATGTGCTAAATAAGTGTATATACAGGTATAAAGGCATGAAACAATGTGCTTCTATCTATATTCTTTGTGTTTATATATACTAGAGTCTGTGGTTATTATAGTATGCATAATCGATTCTTGGGTGCCAGTAGAAGCTAGCCTAGGGGTGCCAGAAGCTCAGGATACTGTGGGCAACTTATCTGGTAATATGATTTCTGACTAATGACAAGTTGAATTGAGGATTCTTGAGCCACTAGAAATAGGATTGTACTTCTTGAATGTTGGGTACCAATTACAAGTGTAGGTATAAGCAAAGTATC